GGACCTTGTGGTGCATAGTCCAGTGCTTATCATATGGAGCCACTGTGTTCCCTAGCTTTAAGAATATTTAGGATGTAATTTATTTGAATTAAACTTAAAAAAATGTGTAGTAATTTAAAATCTTTGAGGACAGGATCCGTGTCTCTTTTGTCCTTTTACTTTGTTGTTGTTGTTATGTGCCGTGGAGTCGGTTCCAACCCATAGTGACCCTGTACAGGGTTTCCGAGGCTGTAAAACTTTACAGGAGCAGAAAGCCTCATCTTTCTCCCGCAGAACAGCTGGTAGTTTCGAACTGCTGACCTTGTGTCACAACCCGATTCATAATCACTTCGCTACCAGAGCTCCTCACTTTGCACTTAGTAAATGCTTAATAAATATTTGCTGAATTGAAAGAACTTAATAAAGTAATGTAAATCATTGATATGGGTATGGAATTATGCTTTTAAAAATCACAATTTTATTATTACTCAATTTTAAATCTATGTAAGAATGCAGTTCTGGTATTGCTCTTCAAACAAAGACTAGTGAGACTGAAAAAGGTTTGGGGTTGACAACGAAATGATCATGTGACCAAGTAGCTTTGGAAGGAAACATACTCTGCTTAGTGAAGATAAAAACAACTCAAATAAACTGATAGATGACTAGATTTATGATGCATGTGGTTAGGGATTATATATATCAAATTCTGGCATACAGGAACTAAGGGGATAGTACCAAAGTCTTAAGAGAGTCTGTCTGAAGTAAATGTTAGGAATTCCTTCTTTAAGTAACAGGTAACCAGGGTACATGCACAGGGTCTCACACTTACAAGGGTCTATGTTGTTTAATGGTCTGCTTTTGAGGTCCTGAAATTCTGAATAATTTTGAACAAAGTTACTTCAAAACGATAAACTCTACATTTTCATTTTGTATGGGGCCTGGGAAACCACCCGTAGGAGGTTCTGAGGTTCTGCAATAACACGGAGAGGGCATTAACTAAGAGTGAAGTTAGCAGTATCAGTAGGAGAAAAAGGTGCTTGGGCACATTCATGAATTCTTCAATGGAGTTTATTTTTTAAAAGCTAAAGATACTTTCTATTTTCTCAAATCTTTGAGAATGATGTAATAAGAGGCAATAACCAACAGAGGGCCTGACAGAGAATCAAATTTTCTTTCTTACCTAAGTGGCTACTCTTGTAAATCTTAGTAGACAATGAATTACAGTGGAAAAATTGGACAATTATTTGTCAAAAGAAGAAAACACCGAAGTATTGATTAAGGAACAAATAATTTTGAATGAAATGTAACAATTTTCTCCCTGGTCTTCAGCATTTAGAATAAGTAAGTTTGTCTTGTGATTTGCATTCTCTCTTATGTTTCCCTAGCAGCTTCTTGGTTTTGACAACTTGGACAATCTCACTCCTTCCCCGTTTTGATGTAAAACAAAATTTCTGACTAGAAAAATATTTCAAAGGGAGACACCCAAACATTGAAGCTGACTGTGGCAGACTGGCCCTGGGCAGAGTCATTTCAGCTCTGTGCATGTCAGAAAAAGTTATTTAGAAAAAGGAAGACTGGTAATTCATTCTTGGATACTTAAAGAGTAGATTAACAAAAGTTCCTAAAGTGTATTTGCTAAATTTATTTGCTCCATGTACTGAATCTGATAAAAAAAACAAAAACTTTTCTTTCAACGGAGTCATTGGATTTAAAAATGACAATAGTTTCACTAATCTGAAAAGTTTCAGATTAGGCAGACATCAACTCTGGGGTAAAATGAAACAGGAACGCAAGGATAAGCACTGGATTGCTAACTGCAAAGTCAGTGGTTCAAACTCACCAGCTGCTCTTTGGAAAACCTATACAGGGTCCCTGAGTTGGAACTGACTTGACACCACTTTACTACACCAACAACAATCTATCCATAGTTACAATCCGGGGATTTGTCTAGTGGCCATCTCCCTGTACACAAGGCTTTCTAAGCCAAGCCCTGCTGTGATGCTGTAGGATCAGCACTGGACTGCAAACCTCAAGGTTGGCAGTTCAAACCCACCAGTTGCTCTCAGAAACCCCACACAGATTGCTTTGAGTTGGAACTGACTCTACAGCACACAACAAAAACAACAACAGGTTCTCTAAAAATGTCAAGTTTAAAAAGTGGGAAGTTAGCAGAGGAAACACAATGGTAGCGGAAGACACTGGGGAGTGCAATAGTTAGAGTGAATGAATAGAGATAAGTACTGTTAGGACTTGGTACATGGAGGGGATTGCAATCATTGAACGAAGCTGAGTATATGATTTGCTGAATGTAAAACCGATGATCTACTCTGTAAACTTTCACTCAATTCATAATAAAAAGTTAAAAAAAAAAAAAAAAAAAGTCAAGGCTGCCTTTCCCCAGGGAGGACAAAGTTGTAGAGAGGTGTCTGTGGAAGAGGTAGCCAACTTTTCTGTTTAGGACATGTAGTCCAGCTCCATTTTTTATTAACTTCCAGGCGGAAGTTCTGAAAGTATTTGTACTGTCGCGGAGCTGCTGAAATCAGCAGCAGCATCTGAGTCTTGTGAGAAATGCAAATCATCAGGTCTCAGCCTAAGACCTCCTGAAACAGAAACTCTGGAGCAAGGCTCAGCAATGCTTTCTAAGTGATTCTGATAGGAAAGTTAGAGAACACTGCCTGAGGGCAACTCAACATGAGGCTTTTGGCACTTCCTAAATAGGTGGATCTTCTGTGGTTTCAATCTCCAAACCAGTGGTCAAATACAAGAGCAGTAAAGTACAGAGGCTGGTTTAAAGCATCATAAACACTGAATAAGGTTCGCTTTAAAGCAAATTAAAAAAAGCAAACTGAACATAACAACAAATCTTTTGAATATTAACTTATAAACAGATTTTCATTAGGAGTGCGCCAATAAGTGATCATTTTTATCTTGTATGACTTTCTAATGCGGAAGGGTTGCCATCTTATTTTTAACACAGAAACAATGCATTGATTTAAAATTAGGATTAAAAAACACATTACATGAAAGGAATCAATGGGAAACAACAAACATGCATTAGGTAACCACCAACTGCTTTGAAATAGATACACCACTCACGTATTCCATTATGTAAATGAATTCAAAGGTATTTCACGACTGCTCAGCTGGAAGGGACATAATGATTTATAATTCAAATAACTGAGCACTGAAATCAAATTGAGCTAATATATATTTCTAAATATGCAAACCTGAAATAATTGTTAAAAAATATAAATCAGTGCAACAATGTTGAGCTCATCCATATCCTTTGGTTAAAATGTTACGGCTTTTAAACTTTTATTTAACAAGTTTTCTGAAAATATGATTTTTTTATTAACTTCAGAAGAAGCACTCAAAAGAAATAGACAGCTTGTAAAATAAAAGGTTATAATTTTAGGATTAAAGAATACTTTATAAATATAATATGAAAAGAATCTTAAAAACAGATAAATAAATTAGACATTATGCAAAGAATACTAAAAAAGAATATGTATCAAATTGATTTTATATTAAGTTTCACTTTCAACCTAAAGAATAGGGTAAATCTAAAGAATAGATAAGGGACTATAGAATAACATAGGCTTCTTTCCATATAATGTGCTCTCAAAGTAATTTATTGTGAAAAGGCCAGACTTTGCAATACTAGGAAGTACTTATAAACCACTTCATATGTTAGAAATAAAGAGTATTTCAGCATTATTATTAAAAAAAAAAAAAAATACAGGTTGAGGTTTTTTTGTTTTTTTTTTTAATAAGGAAAATACATATCTTTAAAAGCCAAAATGACCACTGGAATTGGGTTGTACATCACTTTCCAGTAAAAAGGAAAAACAGCCTGGACAGGTGTAATTTATCATTTTTCTGATTTAATATCAAAGAAATATATTAAAATAATAAAAAGAATCCTGAAATCCTCAAAATTTGTAGTGATAAATAGCCCTCCCTGTCTTTATTGCATTATACCTACTAACAGAAATATTGCATGGTGGATTTTGCCAGACAAGGACGATTATTTTCCAATAAAAAGTTGCATATTAAATTCCAGCACAAAAGTGGGTGTCTAATACTTTGGAAATCTTTTATGGTTTGCCAAGGAACACAATTTTAAACTTAACTAATACAAACATATTCCTGGAGTGAACCTATATTAAAGGTTTCTATCCAACCCTACCCATTTTTAGAATGTTGTTCTTATATTAAGAGATCAGCTAATCTTAGAGGCTAAGTAAACCAACACTTATTTTTTGCAACTCTTACCCGCTTGGTTGCTGATATATAAACGACCATGTGCATACTACTATCTCATTGCTAGAAACACAATAGTATGAACTATAGTCTAGCAAGAAAAGATAACTTCTGATTTTAGATTTTCAAAAACCTGTTATAAAGAGAAAAATCTAAGCATTTATTTGTAAAGGGAAATCTTACTACAGAGTAAATATGTTGATTTGGGAGGGTCAATAGTTACAGAAGTGGTCAAAAAAAACCTTGCAATTTCTTCCTATCACTCCTTTGAGCCTCTCAGCTAATGAAAATAATGTTCTTTTCAATGGAAGAATACTGAAAATATATTTACTCTCAGAACTCAGTTTTCATAAGTTGGTATTGCTATGACATTTTTACCTTCTTAAAATTAGTTACACATGTTGTTATAGAACAAGAACTTCTTAACAACTATGAAAAACCATGGACTGAATACATTTGGTTGTATACTTTCTTATGTAATCATTTATTAACCTGGGTCAGTATAAGCATGATTTACTAGTTAGGAATCTAAATAGCCATATAAAATCAATTGTGACTTAATAAGTGCTTCATAGCATGCAGCCGACGTAGAATTTTCAAAAGAATGCATTTTTACAGAGAAGGCTAAATGAAAGTTATTTATACATTTTAAAACAAACAAAAACATGCACAGTTTATAAACAAGGAAAATACCTGATCAATAGAATGCACTTGTTAAGTTGCTTATATATAATATCAACTATAAGTAAAAAGGATATCCAACAGAAAGGTCATTTAGGAACTGAAGAGTCCTTGAAATTACAGGCTCACATCTTCCCCAGTATTTAAGGTTTGTAACACTAAACACGAACAACGAAAAGAAAAAGGTTTTATTCATAAGATAGTTTCTTGTGTAGAGAAAATCATGGAAATTATACAGACAAGTACACTCGTGAAAGTTACATGACCAAAATCACAAATATCTCACAAACTGAAAAGCAGTTTCAAATACCATGAAACATGTTCTATTCTATTCTCTTATAGCACATTCAAAATTATATACAAGCCATCTGCAATGAACATTATTATCCAAATGGTGTATAACTCCATAGATTTTGTTTTGTAAATTAAAAAGCTGCCTAAGTGTTTCACAGAAGAAAGAGTTTCAAAGGAGTTACCAAGAGAGTCAAACGTAGGTTCAGTTACTGTTAAGAAATGAGCTAACCAACTCCAAACTCACTTCTTAGGGAGTGACTGTGAGACGCAGCTATGATAATAACTGCTTCTCTAGCTTTGCTCTCTGCAGGAAGACAGTGCTGTCTATCTGCAAAAGTGGAGTGCCACTGGGAAGGCATGCACACTACTGAGCCTACATGTACAAAGTCATGTCTATGAGTACCAACTAGTTAATTCTCCTAACATTATACGGGTGCTTGAAGGATAGTCTTCCATGAATGTCTCTGCTACACAGGAGCTTTTGTTAAAACCAATGAATGCCCTGTCTTAAGGCAATGAGACCTTTCTCAATGATCCCAATTTACAGTAAGATCTTCAGTTGGTCTTAAAAAAATAAGCTAAGAAAAGCTGAGTAATAAACCTAAAAAGTCAGGTGTTAATAAACTTTTAAAAACCATGTTTTGATGTTGTATGGCTACCCTGACAAATAAGAATGTTGTCTGGGGGGTACTGGAACTTTTAAAAAGTGAAACTAACTTTCAGTTGAGAACTATGCTAATATTCCAAGAATTAAAGCAAAATTCATTATCTGTGAATAGATTTAAACAAGTAAAGTTAATTGTAATGGACTCAACAGCAATTAACAATAACAACAAGAACAGAAACAAAGGAACCTATTAGATTCAAAGTAACAACAAAACAAAATCAAAGAATCAAAGCATATGCTCACATTTTCGTCATGAATGTTTCTAGAACGTGGTTGTCATCTGTTATTCCTAGGACTTCTGACATACGGGCATATACCTGCACGAAAACACTGCCTTGTTAAAAGCGTTAATATTGACATATATTTTCAAAAGACTATTCAAACTGAACAAATATAAGATTTAATCATTGTTGCATCCATGCTGAAGTAGAGAGTAGGTAAGGATAGCAAATGAAGGACTTAAGTTTTTTGTTTGTTTGTAATTTATAAATTTACTAACACTTCAGGAAGTACCTCTATTCTGAAATAAACACACACACACACACACATTCTTACTTCCATCATACCATACATATAATGACTTACTTTTTTCTCAAAATGGTAAATCATTCCTTTTCTCAAAGATGGGGACCAAACATGCAACAAAAGACTGGAAAGTGAAGTGTCTCAACAAACAGCTCTAGCCTTATAAAATCTCCATTTGGCCCAGACTTTAGTGAAACATCCACTAGTTCAGGATCATGTAATTCAGATATGAACATAAGGATTTAAAAAAATCAAAGGAGGATAAGAAATTGATAGGAATTCTTCCCAAACATCCCCTAATTAAAGTTCCTCAAATACAGAAGTAGCTCTTACTTCTCAAACTGAAACAGAAATCTCTAGCTTAGGAATTCTCTGCTGAAAATACTAGGGTCTGGGAATTCACTGAGCTTTCAGTTAGGGAATGTTGGTTGCTGAGTTTGGGGTACTACATTTCTGTCCCAACCCCCAGCCATAATGAGCTTATAAACACATATTTCTCTCCAAGTGGGGGAATGCCAATGGAATGCCCTCCTAGTAGCCTGGCAAAGCTGCAAGGTGGGGTGACACCTCTGTACTCTCTGATACTTGGTGGGGTTCCAGGCTCTCCTGGCCAGACACCAGCTGTATGGGTGACTTCTCTTCTGTGACGCAATCCCTGTGACTGTGTTCACTTTCTTTCTCCTGATCTGCCCTTTTGCTTGCTCAGCTTCCTCTCCCTCTAGTTTTTGTATTGTAAACGCCAACGTGATGTATTATCCTAGTTCATGAAGGTAAGATAAAATTCACAGTAGAGTACCACAAATCACCCAGAATCTTAGGGTTATACAGGGGGAGGAAAGCTGTTCATTGCAGAAATCTATGTCTGGGCTTCAAACACCATTTGACCCAGAAACTTGTGTTCCAGAGCTTCAAGTGCCCTGTGTCCAGAAGGCTCCCGAGGCTGTTAGAGTGAAGTGAAAGGAGGAAGAGAAGAAGAAGTTGGGGGTGAGAAGGAGATGAGAGGAGAGAAGTGACAGAAGTGTAGAGAGGAGAGACAGAGAGAGACGAGAAAAGGAAGACTGAGATTCAAATTCTTGTTGTCTCTTCTGCTAACTTCTGAGTCCTATGAAAAAGCATTTCAATAATTGTACCTGTGACTTTGCTCATAAGGCTGAGGATCATCTCTAACAGACTGAAGTTGTCACTGTGCTTTGGGGGAAGAGGAAGCTAGGGAGAGAGCCTAAGGAAGTTGGTAAACATCAATCCTCCGTGATGAGAAACCACTGCTTATTGCTACTGCCATTGAGTCAGTTCTGACTCATAGCAACCCTGTATACGGTTTCCAAGGAGCAGCTGGAGAGCTCGAACTACTGACCTTGCAGTTCAAACCAACCATGTGACCCAACACATTAACCCACAGCACCACACCAGGATTCCCTTCAAGCACCTGTTGTTGTTATGTGCCATCGAGTCGTTTCCGACCCGTAGCGACCCTGTATAGCGTTTCCGAGCTCAAAAGAAGAATGGTACGTCGTTTCTATGATCTCACTATGATCTAAACCTTGCTTGTAAAAGGGAATGAACTGGGCCCCTACGAAAAGATGGGCCCAAGATGCTTATAAACAGCAGTTCCATCAGTTGCATTCCACACTGAAATGTTGACAGGTCACTGAAGTGTCTCACGTGACTTCAAACCTCTATGTGTTCATGTGCTGTTCATTTTGTCAGCACCAGTCTTTTCCCTTCTTTCCCTGTTTACCATTCAAATGTCACACTTCCTCTGAAACCTTCTTTGACTTCCCAGGCTGAATGAATGATACTCTCCCTTATGTTTCCATAGCATTTGGCCCAATCCTCTATCACTGTGCTTTTCACACTGTAAGTGTTTGCGTGTCCATCTCCCCTACTACACTGGGACTCCTTGAGGGCTGCTGTACCATGCCTTACTCTTTGTGTTCCAGCACCTAGCACAACATTTGCCAAGTAAATAATATATGTGTGTTTAATGTGTAACAGCAAGAGTCATGATCTGGATCCGCCGGGACTATATTATAATGTGACTATTACACAGACTATGAAAAATGAAGATCTTTCTTATTAAGCATATATTGGATTCCATGGACAAAAGACACAAGATCATAAATTAGAACAGAAAAAGAAGCGAGACTAGCTTGCCTTGTTATTTTTAACCTCTGAATAGCTAGATGGTAGTTGATTATAGCAATTGTCTTTAAGCTTTTATTTTAGTAGCACCCTTTTCAAATGAAATCTTTCAAATAATGTCTGATCTCTAAAACAGGATAACAATTGGGACCTGACACCTTCCTGTCTGTCTTGCTGTCCCAAGGCCACTGGCTGTGCCCTGAAGTATGACTAGAATTATAAAGACACTTTCCTGTAGAAAGATGAGAGCATGGGTGGATCGGTTTAAACTGGCCCTAGTATAACTCAAAGCACTAATTCTCTTGATAATCCATATAGATAAACAAAATGAAAAATAATTCCATGTTTTCAATATACTGGTTTGTGGGAAAGGACATAATGAGATTATCCCAACTAGCCTATTTTCTTTTCATTGTATTACATCTTATTTCTCTTTCCCTCCAGGTTAACTCTCTTATTTTGAACAACATGATGACCACACTGTATTTTTGTAAAATCAAATTTTACATTTTCAATCCTATTTATAAATCCTAGTTTTGGTGGCAAAGCTTGGAATTTACCTAATTTTGATTTTAACCATGCTATAGTGGACAAGAAAAACAATTAAAATTTTATTAAAATGTGATTTTTAACAGTTAAAACATTTAGCAAATGTACCCTTTGAAATAAGTGGTTTGTACAGGGAAAAACTTCCCTGATATATGTTCCTAGTGTTCAAAAGAGACGACAGCTAGGCAGGCAAGTCTGTTGTGCTCTGCTGTCAAAACAGTGTCTCAAAGCAGCAGATTTGACCCAATAAGATACTAGGAGAAACAGTCAACATTGACACATGGCAGTGCTTTAATCCACAATTATCCTTGTAACTTGCACCATTCCTTTTATCATCCATTAGCTTTGATTCCCATTATCCCATCTAGAACTGTGTCAACGCTTTTGTCCTTGGGGATTTCTCTCCACTACCAGGATCTGACAGTCAAGCTTGAGTACTAAACAGGATCATTACCTCTTAAATCCACTTATCTGATCTACTGAATAGTAAATTGAAAAGCTCATTAAGAGCAACAATCTGATTTGTTTTCAAGTGTGACAGGGTCATTTAAAATCAATGAGTGATTACAGCATTTCTTCTAAAAGACTGTCTCACATTTTCCAAGGCATCTTATCATCCAAAGAGCATGCAGATAATATGACAATGTCTCCCAACATTTGGAATTTAACTATATCACACAGAGGAAAGATCTTCATCAAATAACTTGGGGGTGAGGCTATCGCTACAAAACTGTGTATTATAAAGCAAGCTTATATAAATTTTCGCAGAAAAAAAGTTTTTTGTTGCATAATGTTTAGAGGTTTTCAACATATTCCCAAACTTTCCTCGCTGAACAACAAGAAAACCTTTTATGACAGCAAGAAAAAACCCACATACCACAAAATTCATTTTAAGAAAACCTGCATCAGCATACTTCATTTCATTGTGTGCCACTTGATTGTGCTTTGCGGATATTATGATTTCGTTTTGCTTGTCTTTTGTTGCAAATTGAAAGTTTGTGGTGTCCCTGCCTTAAGTAAGGCTATCGGTGCCACTGTTTCACCTGCATGCGCTCATTTTGTGTCTCTGTGTCACATTTTCACCGTATTTTAAACTTTTTCATAATGCAACTGCATACTTAATAGACTATGGTATAGTGTAAACATAGCTTTTACATACACTGGGAAATAAAAAAATACATGTGAGTTGCTTTCCTGTGGTATCTGGAACTGAGCTCACAATTATCTCTAAGGTATGACTATAGGAGTTAGCATAGGAGTGCAAGAAGAGGGCGAGGAAGAGAAAAACAACCCTCATATTTAGTACAATTAGCCCTGGACTGTGAACCACAAGGTCAGCAGTTCAAGTTCACCAGCCGCTCCTTAGAAACCCTATACAGGGTTGCTAAGAGTGGGCGTTGAATTGACAACACTTAGCAACAACAATTTATAGATTCCTAACTTAATTTCAGAATCAACTAAGATAATCTTATCATAATGAAAACTTTTAAGCAAACCTTAGAAATAAAAGATGAAACTCACTGTGTTGTCACCTTTCAGAGAATCATGAGCAATATAATGTAGCTGATTAGACAGTAATGTCTTTTGTTTGGTTTCACAGAGCCAGAGATGCACATGTTGTAACCCAATGTTTGCTCGCCTGTGCCTTCCGTCTTTTTAAATGAGCCTTTTTATTTTTCATCAGACTACAAGCTTCGTAAGGGCAATGAGGATGCTTTGTCTTGTATTTCCCCATGTCTAATGCTCAAGGTTTCTTAAATGAACACAAAGAATGCTATTTTTAAATTTACAATTTTGGACAATTTCATTTTAGTCATAATTTTCAACAAAATGAAAACAATTTAAAAAGTGCTTTTTTTTTTTTTAAACAGAAAAAATTTTTTTCTAGTAAAAATCATATATCCATAATCCTATTCTCTAGGCGTGAACACTAACAAAATTTTATTATTAAAAAAATCTGGTTTTAATGCTTAAATAAATATTCTGGAAGGGCTCTCCTTGATCCAGTAAATGGAGCTCTCTTTTTCTTTTGAATCCCCACTGTAGCCACCCAGTTATAATAGAATATGATCTTGTTGCAGTATTAATTTTCTATGCAAAT